ATATACCGGAGTGGCTCACCTGGTCTCGTAATATCGATGCGGTATCTCCCCATCTCATACATTGGGAAGCCGAAATTCTCTGATATATCTCCACATATCACACCCCTTCTTCCCCCACAATTTTTTTCTCGGTCACCTACTTTCGGAGATGGAAACATCGTCACTACGGTACGACCAGACGACCAGACGACCTCGGGTATCCCTGATCCGAAAATAGTGCCGTCATTTATTTTTAGCCAGCCAATCAAAACGCGATGACACAGCTCTCCACTTTCAGCCAGCCAATCAGATTGGGTGAATAAAAATAAACCACTGCGAATTAACCACTGCTGGCGATTGAAGATCAAGCCCTGTTATGGGAAAAACGGCAATACCTTACAGGGGTTCTGATAAACGACCATGTAGACGACAATACCTCACACGGGGTCTGATATACGATCATGGAAGTCAATACCTCACACGGGGTCTGATAAACGATCATGGAGACGCCAATACCTCATGGAGATACGGATAGGCTGCGATGGAGACAGACATTTCCCCCATTCGAGTATGCACTTTACAGCCCCCATAACCTAATTATCTATTCATCGAAGTTTCTTACATATTTTGCAAAATATTTGTATTTATTATATATTTAAGTGGTGCAAAGCAATAGCAATAGTCTAATCACGAACAACACGAAACGAACTACCTGCGTAAGCACGTGACCCGATTAACATTTACAAACATACAAAGTCATGTCAGTCACAGAGCCAGTTGTTCCAGTTGTATGCATGTGGTGCTCGGATGTATTCGGACCGGAAATACCTACAGTGGTATGAACAATATTAATTCTTTCCTTGTGCTCTTTGAGCACAAATGCCTGCTCTGACAACAGAACAAAACGTGGTACCAAACTGTGCACATTGAAAACTTGAAACAAATGACTTTGTCGTTTAGATATTTTCAATTACGGGTCTAGCTTTAAGGTGTGACTCGATAACCCCACTGCTTAGAATTATTCATACCCTAGCTGTACTTACATGTCTGGCGTGGCCTGGAGGTATTTCAAAGATTCCCTACATATTTAACTTCAAGGATCTAGCTCTACTAAAAATATAATTTGAAGTAAATTGCGCACATACATAAATACATTTTGGAAAGACAAATTTAATAATAAAATTAATAATAATATTAATAATAATAATATATACTCAACAACAAAAGTTCCTGTGACACCAATATTTTAGTGTATTTTTCAAAGAAGTAAAGTTTGGTTTTCAATATTGTAGTATATGTATGGAATCAAGTCAGAAAAACGCAACTGCTACAGAAAAGCATGCATTCCATGCAAAAGTTGACTGCATTTCACTACCCAAGAATGGATATAAAAACATGTGCGTCAACGCGATTCCATATGCATTGTTTAGCATCGTGCTGACAACAACCACTCAGAAAAACAACAAAATTTCGCAATTATTCAACATTACGAAATGCCACGCCTTTCCGAAAATGAGCGTCTGCGAGCCATTGGTATGCTTGAAGCAGGATCCGGTCAACGTCATGTTGCAAGACAATTTAACGTCCACAGAAACACCATTTGGTATTTATGGCAAGGTTGGCAACAGACGAATGCCGTCAGAGACCATTCTCGGAGTGGCAGGCCACGCGTAACCAATAATCGACAAGACAACTGGGTTCGAACAAAACACCTACGAAATCGATTCCAGCCAGCAACAGTGACTGCAAGAAGCATCCCTGGCCTTCGACGAATATCTTCACAAACCGTCGCCTCAGATGTGCAGGGATTGTCGCCAGAAGACCCACCAGACGTCCCATTTTGACAGGAAACCACCGTCAAGCACGTCTGCAGTGGTGCAGACAGCGTCTACGCTGGACGGCCATGCAGTAGGGACAAGTTCTATTCACTGACGAGTCACTCACCTCAGCCACAGCGATGGACGGATTCGAGTGAACCGACGTCATTGTGTCATGGAAGAAGATCGGTTCGGGGGCGGCAGCGTTATGGTATGGGGTGGGATTACAGCAAGACAGAGGACCCGTTTGATTGTGGTAGAGGGAAATCTCAATGGACAGCGCTACCGCGACGAGATCATCGGCCCTGTTGTTCTACTGTTTTGGCGTCGTCATGGCCCAGGCATTACTTTTCAACATGACAAGGCCCAGCCTCATATTGCTCGACTTGTTCAGGACACTCTTCAACAAAACAACGTGAATGTCATCCCCTGGCCGGCTCGCACCCCTGATCTCTCACCAATCAAGCACATGTGGGATGGGATGGATCGGCGCCTTCGACGTCAACCACGTGTTCCACAGACACTCCAGGAACTTCGAAACATGCTCCAGCAGATATGGACAGATATCCCACAGGACTTTGTGCGGCGCCTGGTCCATTCCATGAGACGAAGATGTGTTGCTTGCATCGCAACCAGTCTGAACCAGAGGTGGATACACACGCTATTGATTTGTAAATTGACATTTTGGCATGTTCATGTTTTTTTATTGAAATCACCCATTTTCTGAAGTCAGTATGGCAAATTAAACCATTTGAACACTTACAGGAGTTTTTTATCTGTTGCAAACCGAAATTGTTTCAGCTTTGGTAAAAACATAACTGCATTAAATCTTATTCAATTTCACAGGAACTTTTGTTGTTCAGTATAGTAAAATTACTTACTTTGATCAAACATACCTTGTTGCACTTATCAACAGTCATACATTATATATCCTGCATTGAGTCAATTTAGGGTTCAGACAAATTAGGATGTCCCGATGAGAAATCTGGCACACAATGTCCATCTTGTAGGTGCCCGTGAGGCGGTTTCTGTATAGATGCAGGGTCTGTACAATGATGGCTGTGGGTCTTAGCGGTGTTGCGAAGATATTTGATCAGGAAAGTTGGCATCGTGGAGGTTCTTGTTGTTTTCTTCAATTTGTTTCTTCGTCCTTCGTGACCTGAGTTGATTAAGTGAGGTAACTGGATCAGTAGTAGGCTCAAGAGTTACTCTACCCTGATTCTCCAGATGTCAACACACATGTTAACGGGGGGATTAGCTCTTGGGGGAATCACTGTCCCGGAACGTTTAATTCAGAACGTATAAACAATGAACGACAAATACACAATGTCTGGAATACCTGCTCTGGCAACACAAATATAACGATAAACGGAATGAAGTTCCCGCTCTACCTCAGGCCGTTTCCTACGGGCGCCACATCCTGCTCGCGGTCGCCCGCACTCCAGCACTCGGAATACCAAGCTGACTAACATTATAACATCTTCCCAAGGCAAGTGAGTTAACTGACTATAAAAGTCCAGTTTCCACCCTTGCCGAACTAGGCTGGTATTATGGAGTTACATTTTGGCTGGACTAACGAGTCTATGCATAGTCCTATCAAAATCGCGCACCGAAATCGAAATCCGGTTCGTAAAGTGTCATGCAGATTTCGGTCGACTGCAGCATTTGCAAAACATGTGCGCTGACTCGTTGTCAACAGATATTTTCTAAATCTTTTCATGTTTTTAATCAAGGTGCTCACGTGATTTGATGCACTTCGCGATGTAAGACTCGTTTTATCACAATAAAGATCTTGATTATCGATCAGATCGTCTTGACTGGGCGCCACCGTTTTGTTTGAAGCAAATGCAAGTGATACGAGAGGTTGAATCTGATTGGTCAGTAGGAGAGGCAAAGAAAGGACATAACCTCGCAATAGCCACTGGTGGCGCTACGGTCGAGCCCAGGAATTCCAGCCTAGTTCGGCAAGGGTGGAAACTGGACTTTTATTGTCAGTTAACTCACTTGCCTTGGGAAGATGACATTATAAATGTAAACACATATTTAGTAATGGACAACTATAGACAGACAAAGAGACAATGACGGTGCGTGATTACCGACACAGCCCAGGGGATAATTGATTGAGACCATAGATGTCATAATATGAATAGCAGTACATAGTGACATAGTAGCACAGGTTGGCTGACAACAATGCAATGGCAATTAAGTCATGGAGATATAGACATATCACGGCTACATAAAAACTAGATTATGGAATTAAAAATGTTCATTTGGACAATGGTTGTCACTGTGACAACATCAGAGCTCAAAGTATTAGGAATGATATAGAATCATGTTTATTGAAAGCTGCCAACAGTAGATTAAATATTAGTAACACAGATGTTTTTTGTTTGTTTGTTGTTTAACCCCGCACTCAGCAATATTCCAGCTATATGACGGCGGTCTGTAAATAATCGTGGCTGTACCCTCGAGGGGGGTTGAAGAAGCGTAAAATTAGTCCCAAATCATTCGAAGTATTTTTATGCATTCCAGACATTTAAAACGTAGCATTTTTGTCATTTTAATCTTAGGCTTAACTGGTAAACTATCGCCAGTGACTGAAGGGATGATATACATCCTGCTGGGGTCCATGCAGGAAGCAAAGGCACTGTAAGTCCCCATGGTCCCTAGTATGGTGATCTCCCTTTAGTTACTGACGATCCCTAGCCCAATTTTATATTGGGTTGTTCACTGATACTTATGACTTTTATATATTCTCAACTAGTTTTTGTGACATTCTAGTTATTGTACTGTCCTTCGTCGACAGCTTTTTATTTAGTCTAAATCTATGTATTATTAATGTACTTCTCGTCACGATATGGCTGAAATACTGCCGATGTGACGTTAAATCTTAACTCACTCACTGTAAATATTCGAGTCTGGACCAGGCAATCCAGTGATAGATATCGTGATTATTGATTCACAGATGTTCCTGGTCAACTTTTCGTATAGTGTTCAAAGATTTCGTTGAGAAATATATTATTTATTTTGTATAAATTGTTGATGATAAAAAAAAAGAATATCAGTGTACTTAGGTCATGAGTTTGTTGTGCAATTGTATAAGCTTGTAGCAAGTGCCAGGTGCTGAGATCGTATCCCGCTTGTGACCGGGGTGTTGTTCAGCCTATGACCCACCAATGTTTACAATTCTTTACAGTGTTGTCACAGGATGAGCATCTCTGGAATAGCTGACTCTCTGGTGCACAATTTACCAGATGAAGAAACAAAAGCCAGCATCTTGCAACAAGACAACAACTTCAGGCCATTTTTTGACACAATAACGACCGGGGGTCTCAACTACGCATGCGCCAAAGGCGCTGACCTTGACGACCCGGCGCCATACTTCCAAGAGGTGACCAGACGACCAAAACACGTGCTTATCGTGGGTTCAGGGGTGGCGGGCCTGGCTGCGGCTTACGAGCTACAACAAGCTGGGCATGAGGTATTCTGTGCGTCTATATGACTGAGCCTAAATGTTGTGACGCTGATTGTTTGTTTGTTTGTGGTTTGCGGGTTTGTTGGTTCTTTAACGCTGCACTCAGCAATATTCCAGCTATATTTACGGCGATCTGTAAATAATTGAGTCCGGACCAGACAATCCTGTGATTGACATTATGAGCATCTATCTACGCAATTGGGATACGATGACATGCATCAACCAAGTCAGCGAGCCTGACAACCCTATCCTTTTAAGTCGCCTCTTGACAAACATAGACGCCTCTCACGACAAACATGGGGTGCTGAAGACTTATTCTTACCCATTGAAACATATGACCCCTTAGACCCCACTCCCTACACGTCCAGACCACCTCCTGACACACACGCACGCACGCACGCACGCACGCACACACTTACACACACACCACGAATGTTTTTGGCGATAAAAACTTAGTCACCTCTTAGGACAAGCCTAGTCGCACGGGTTGCTGAAGACCTATTTTCAACCCAGATAGTCGTGAGGGGATTGCTGTTGTGGTAACAACAGGTCATTGTAGTCGTGATGAGAACAGTTGCAGCTCATTGTGTGCATGGTGGTTACAGCTGTCGATTGTAGTCGTGGTGGTAACAGCAGCTCATTGTAATCGTAGGGACCGCAGCTCATTGTTGTGAGGTAACATCAGTTGATTCCAGTCGTGACGGTAACTGTATCAGCTGACTGCAGTCGCGATGGTAACTGTAGCAACTGATTGCAGTCGTGATGGTAACTGTAGCAGCTGATTGTAGTCGTGATTGTAACTGTAGCATCTGATTGTAGTCGCGATGGTAACTGTAGCAACTGCTTGTAGTCGTCATAGTTACTGTAGAAACTGCTTGTAGTCGTGATGATAACTGTAGCAGCTGCTTGTAGTCGTGATGGTAACAGTAGCAGCTGATTGTAGTCGTGATGGTAACTGTAGCAACTGCTTGTAGTCGTGATGGTAACTATAGCAGCTGCTTGTAGCAGAATGGTAACTGTAGCAGCTGCTTGTAGTCGTGATGGTATTTGTTTCCAGCTGCTTGTAGTCGTGATGGTAACTATAGCAGCTGCTTGTAGCAGGGTGGTAACTGTAGCAGGTGCTTGTAGTCGTAGTAACTGTAGCAGCTGCTTGTAGTCGTGATGGTAACTGTAGCAGCTCTTTGTAGTCGGGATAGAAGTTCATTGGTGTGATAGGAATGGCAACAGTGGCAGCTGATTGTAGATTGTTGTGATAACCACTGATTATAGTTGAGATGAAAACAGCAGGTGGTTGAATTTTGCAGGTCACCATTCTTGAGAGCGAACACAGAGTCGGGGGACGCATCAAAACAATAAGATTCGCAAATGGACTTCACGCAGACGGTTGGTATATGGTTAACTAGCTGCCCATCGTCCTTAGTCTGTGTTGCTGTACTGTACTGGGCGGGATTATACATACACATGGGACATTTTTCTTCAAACGGACATTTTTCTTTCGGTCATTTGAGAATAAGCAGAAATACAGAAAAGTCTTAGTTTTTGTGTTCGCAACACAAATAAGGCCGTAATCTTTGCTCTGTTTGAATATTGTGTTGCGTTTTGTTGTCGAGAAAGGTGGGGAAGGTTGAAAATGCTCACGGTATATCTGGTTGTGTGTAAAACAGGAGGAGTGCTTGGACATGTAGTTGTGTATTACTGTATTAAAACAGTCGACCTGTGCATGTAGTGCTGTATCACGTGTGTTGAATAAAGTATGGGTATACAGCTCAAACTGGGGTTTGCATAACGCATTATGTGTTATGTTAAATGCAGGAAGGACGATACAACTCTCCTCACATGTTACCTGGTTTCTATGTCACCCAAGAGGGAGATATTGCTCCATGTCTAACTGGGTTTCTATGTCACGCAAGAGAGATATATTGTTCAATGTCTAAGTGGGTTTCTGTCACGCAAGAGGGAGATATTGCTCCATGTCCAACTGGGTTTCTATGTTACGCAAGAGGGAGATATTGCTCCATGTCCAATTGGGTATATTTGTCCTGCAAGAGGAATGTATTACTCCATGTCCAACTGGGTTTCTGTCACGCAAGAGGGAGATATTGCTCCATGTCCAACTGGGTTTCTATGTTACGCAAAAGGGAGATATTGCTCCATGTCCAATTGGGTATATTTGTCCTGCAAGAGGGATGTATTACTCCATGTCCAACTAGGTTTCTATGTCCTGCAAGAGGGAGATATTGCTCCATGTCCAATTTGGTTCATATGTCCTGCAAGAGGGAGATATTGCTCCATGTCCAATTGGGTTCATATGTCCTGCAAGAGGGAGATATTGCTCCATGTCCAACTGGGTTTCTATATCCTGCAAGAGGGAGATATTGATCCATGTCTAACTTGGTTTATATGTCACGCAAGAGGGAGATATTGATCCATATCTAATTGGGTTCATATGTCCTGCAAGAGGGAGATATTGCTCCATGTCCAACTGGGTTCTATGCCATGGAAGAGGGAGATATTGATCCATGTCCAATTGGGTTTCTATGCCATGGAAGAGGGAGATATTGCTCCATGTCCAACTGGGTTTCTATATCATGCAAGAGGGAGATATTGATCCATGTGTAACTTGGTTATATGTCACGCAAGAGGGAGATATTGATCCATGTCCAACTGGGTTTCTATGTCCTGCAAGAGGGAGATATTGCTCCATGTCCAACTGGGTTTCTATGCCATGGAAGAGGGAGATATTGCTCCATGTCCAACTGGGTTTATGTGACCTGCAAGATGGAGATATTGCCCCATGTCGAACTTGATTTATATGTCCTGCAAGAAGGAGATATTGCTCCATGTCCAACTGGGTTTCTATATCATGCAAGAGGGAGATATTGATCCATGTCTAACTGGGTTTCTATGTCCTGCAAGAGGGAGATATTGCTCCATGTCCAACTGGGTTTCTATGCCATGGAAGAGGGAGATATTGCTCCATGTCCAACTGGGTTTATGTGACCTGCAAGATGGAGATATTGCCCCATGTCGAACTTGATTTATATGTCCTGCAAGAGGGAGATATTGCTCCATGTCCAACTGGGTTTCTATATCATGCAAGAGGGAGATATTGCTCCATGTCCAATTGGGTATATTTGTCCTGCAAGAGGGAGATATTACTCTATTTCCAACTGGGTTTCTATGTCCTGCAAGAGGGAGATATTGCTCCATGTCCAACTTTGTTTATATGTCCTGCAAGAGGGAGATATTGCTCCATGTCCAACTGGGTTTCTATATCATGCAAGAGGGAGAAATTGATCCATGTGTAACTTGGTTATATGTCACACAAGAGGGAGATATTGATCCATGTCCAACTTGGTTTCTATGTCCTGCAAGAGGGAGATATTGCTCCATGTCCAACTTGGTTTCTATGTCCTGCAAAAGGGGAGATATTGCTCCATGTCAAAACTGGGTTTCTATGTCATGGAAGAGGGAGATATTGCCCCATGTCCAACTGGGTTTCTATGTCCTGCAAGAGTGAGATATTGCTCCATGTCCAACTGGGTTTCTATGTCATGCAAGAGAGATATATTGTTCAATGTCTAAGTGGGTTTCTGTCACGCAAGAGGGAGATATTGCTCCATGTCCAACTGGGTTTCTATGTTACGCGAGAGGGAGATATTGCTCCATGTCCAACTGGGTTTCTGTCACGCAAGAGGGAGATATTGCTCCATGTCCAACTGAGTTTCTATATCATGCAAGAGGGAGATATTGCACCATGTCCAACTTGGTTTCTATGTCCTGCAAGAGGGAGATATTGTCCCATGTCCAACTGAGCTTCTTTGTCATGCAAGAGGGAGATATTGATCCAGGTATAGCTGGGTTTCTATATCATGCAAGGGGGAGATATTGATCCATGTGTAACTTGGTTTATATATCACGCAAGGGGGGGATATTGCTCCATGTCCAACTGAGTTTCTATGTCCTGCAAGAGGGAGATATTGCCCCATATCCAACTTGGTTTCTATGTCCTGCAAGAGGGAGATATTGCTCCATGTCCAATTGGGTTCATTTGTCCTGCAAGAGGGAGATATTGCTCCATGTCCAATTGGGTTCATATGTCCTGCAAGAGGGAGATATTGATCCATGTCTAACTGGGTTTCTATGTCCGGCGAAACCGCATTATCTGTGGTTTGAGAAGGGAGCTAACTCCGTTTGCCTAATCGAAAGTTCGAGGTGGGCCCACATTCGAAACTAAACGCACTTGTTGTTGAGAATATGTACAATGTAAACTAACCCGCATTACGAACTGCTATTTTGTCTATTTAAAATAAGTATTATGACTTATAATTGGATTAGAATGTACAAATGCGATGACAATACAGCAGAACTCACGTATACGAACATCGCCAAACTAGGTCGCGGGATCATTAATATTCATGAGTTATTCCTCTTATGGAACAAGTTCTCGGAAAAGTTTGAGGCTTGTATCATGACTGTCATGTCCGAGATCAATTCAAGTGTAGACATATTTCCAGCGGCAAACTTATCATCAGATTGATGTGTTATTCTGGAAAAAGTAGAATGAGTGGTATTCCCTCTGTAAATTTAATTTGAAGTAGATCTAAGTTTCTTGCTTTGTTACTATTTTTGCAAAACTAGTGTGGTCAGCTATGATGACGTTATTCAAACTTCAAAGACTTTGTGTGCATTTATAAAGATATTTCCCATCAATATTACAAAATGAGAATAATATATAATGTCACATACCCATGCAAATGTGAGCCCACTAGTCTAAATGACTCAGTCAACCCAATGAAGCCCAGCGATTTACAAATGTGGGCCCACCTGTTTCGATCACTATAAGACGGGAACAATGTGGGCCCACATTTTAGAAAATGGTTATAAGTAAGCCAGGCTAATGAAGCTTAGCGATTTATAAATGCGGTCCCTCCTGTTGCAATCACTATGACGGAAGAACGTCTTCCTACTAGGAGATATACAAATGTGGGCCAACTTGTTTCGATCACCATATATGACGGGAACAATGTGGGCCCACATTTGAGAAAATGATTATCAATATTTTAAGTAGAATTTCGCGATTAATAAATGTGGTCCCTCCTGTTGCAATCAATATGACAGAAGAACGTCTGCCCACATTTAGGAATTGATTATCAGAACTCATTAAACAACCTAACGAAGCTAGGTTACATACAAATGTGGGCCCACTTGTTTCGATCACCATATATGACGGGAACAATGTGGGCCCACATTTTAGAAAATGGTTATCAGCACTAAACCAATCTAAGAAGATGTACGGATGGAAACATAAATATATAATGCATTCAAACATTCAATTAAGAATACGTTTTACCTTAGGGATCAGCTGGGCATTTAATAGCTGGACCAACAACGTACAGCATGACTGATGCCATTTCTCGCAAATACGAAAACAACGGAGATAGCTCCCGTTTGAATTTAGAGTGACCTCCCTTTCCAAATGTGAACCACTGATAATGCGGTTTCGCCCTATGTCCTGCAAGAGGGAGATATTGATCCATGTCTAACTTGGTTTATATGTCACGCAAGAGGGAGATATTGATCCATATCTAATTGTGTTCATATGTCCTGCAAGAGGGGGGATATTGCTCCATTTCAAACTGAGTTTCTATGCCATGGAAGAGGGGGATATTGCTCCATGTCCAACTGAGTTTATGTGACCTGCAAGAGGGAGATATTGATCCATGTGTAACTGGGTTTATGTGACCTGCAAGAGGGAGATATTGATCCATGTGTAACTTGGTTATATGCCACACAAGAGGGAGATATTGCTCCATGTCCAATTGGGTTCATTTGTCCTGCAAGAGGGAGATATTGCTCCATGTCCAACTGGGTTTCTATATCATGCAAGAGGGAGATATTGATCCATGTCTAACTGGGTTTCTATGTCCTGCAAGAGGGAGATATTGCTCCATGTCCAACTGGGTTTCTATATCATGCAAGAGGGAGATATTGCCCCATGTCCAACTGGGTTTCTATGTCCTGCAAGAGGGAGATATTGCTCCATGTCCAACTGGGTTTCTATATCATGCAAGAGGGAGATATTGATCCATGTCTAACTTGGTTTATATGTCACGCAAGAGGGAGATATTCCTCCATGTCCAACTTGGTTCATATGTCCTGCAAGAGGGAGATATTACTCTATTTCAAACTGGGTTTCTATGTCCTGCAAGAGGGAGATATTGCTCCATGTCAAACTGGGTTTCTATATCATGCAAGAGGGAAATATTGCCCCATGTCCAACTTGGTTTCTATGTCCTGCAAGAGGGAGATATTGCTCCATGTCCAACTGGGTTTCTATATCATGCAAGAGGGAGATATTACTCCATTTCAAACTCGGTTTCTATGTCATGGAAGAGGGAGATATTGCTCCATGTCCAACTGGGTTTATGTGACCTGCAAGAGGGAGATATTGCTCCATGTCCAACTTGGTTTCTATGTCCTGCAAGAGGGAGATATTGCTCCATGTCCAACTGGGTTTCTATGTCATGGAAGAGGGAGATATTGCTCCATGTCCAACTGGGTTTCTATGTCATGGAAGAGGGAGATATTGCTCCATGTCAAACTGGGTTTCTATATCATGCAAGAGGGAGATATTGCCCCATGTCCAACTTGGTTTCTATGTCCTGCAAGAGGGAGATATTGCTCCATGTCCAACTGGGTTTCTATATCATGCAAGAGGGAGATATTACTCCATTTCAAACTCGGTTTCTATGTCATGGAAGAGGGAGATATTGATCCAGGTCTAGCTGGGTTTCTATATCATGAAAGAGGGAGATATTGATCGAGGTCTAGCTGGGTTTCTATATCATGCAAAAGGGAGATATTGATCCATGTGTAACTTGGTTATATGTCACGCAAGAGGGCGATATTGCCCCATGTCAAACTTGGTTTCTATGTCCTGCAAGAGGGAAATATTGCTCCATGTCCAATTGGGTTCATATGTCCTGCAAGAGGGAGATATTGCTCCATGTTCAACTGGGTTTCTATATCATGCAAGTGGGAGATAATGATCCATGTCTAACTGGGTTTCTATATCATGCAAGAGGGAGATATTGATCCATGTCTAACTTGGTTTATATGTCACGCAAGAGGGAGATATTGCTCCATGTCCAACTGGGTTTATGTGTTTTGCAAGAAGGGAGATATTGATCCATATCTTACTGGGTTCATATGTCCTGCAAGAGGGAGATATTACTCCACGTTAAACTGGGTTTCTATGTCATGGAAGAGGGAGATATTGCTCAATGTCCAACTAAGTTTCTATGTCATGGAAGAGGGAGATATTGCCCAATGCCATACTTGGTTTCTATGTCCTGCAAGAGGGAGATATTTCTCTATGTGCAACTGCGTATAAATGTCGAGCAGGAGGAAGATTTTGCTCTATGTTAAAAACAGGGTTTTTGTGATTTAGAATATCAGATCGCCGTCCTCTTTGTAGTAGGGGAGATAATATTATCTGCCAAACCGTTTATCTTACTGAACAGCTGGAGCGATGAGATTCCCACCAAGCCACTACCTGACGATTCATTACATGGAACATTTCAATGTCCACAAATGCCCTTTCAGAGAAAATAACCCTCACAGCCTGTACTACATTCACGGAGAAAAACATACTTTATCTGGTAGGTATACGTCTTTTATCTTATATCAGAAATAATAATTGAAGAGAGCTTTTTACCTCTTTAACCGGCTACACATGTATATTCTTCATGCAAGAAATTTATTGCTCCATGTCCAACTGGGTTTCTATGTCCTGCAAGAGGGAGATATTGATCCATGTCTATTTACAGGTTGATGAAAGAGATGTCTAAAGATTGCACTAATCACTACAGAAACAGGACAAAGTCGAAACTATGACACTACCACTAGTTAACAAAGTAAAGTACTTATGTTTATGGACCAGGTTAAAATACAAAACGATAAGCTAATTGACGACATAGCAACACATGGCCATTATCATCCATAAAAATACACGCTTCATGAGTCTTAATGCTGAGGGAAGTGACTTTTGTGTTTACATCCGCCAATGCGGTTGGTACGATCAGATTACCGTTTAACAGAAAAGCTAAAATATTACGATTACTTTAATTGTAAATGGTAACAATGTCTATGCAACAAGTTATAAGTGTATACGTTTAGATACGGCAATTGAAATAATTATAAATTTGCATTAGAAATTGCATAGATATAAATGGTGGTGAATTCAAATGATATTATTTGGTCAGAGAGGACAAGCGTTTTGGCTTTGCTCTGTTTTAAAACCAGTCGCCTGTGTAGTTCTAAATTATACAGACGAATATTCAAACTTAACCATTGAGAAGAAAAATGAAGAATATAGGAGGTCGCTAGGTACTTACTAGGTCATTTTATAATTTCGAAAACAGAGAAAAATTAAAATTGAATTTTGACATTTGAACTGTTTTGAAATTCGGTAAAGAGTGGAATCGGAACCCTGGCTTTTACTGTGACAAGCACTGGAAGGGATGGGACAACAATATCACCCCTCAAATCAAAGAAGCTTTGAATATATCCGACATAAGTAAGTAAATTATTTTATTCAAGACCCTTTGGTACTTCTCATCCCATTGGGTTGGCCATGGGTAGGAGGCAGGGTTAAGGTGGGGTATTGAGGGATGGTTGGGGTGGGGTTTGGACGGAGGGTTGAGGTGGGGTATGGAGGGAGGTTTTGTGTGCTGCATAGAGAATGGGTTGGGGTGGGCTATGGACGGAGGGTTGGGGTGGGGTTTGGACGGAGAGTTGGGGTGGGGTTTGGACGGAGAGTTGGGGTGGGGTTTGGATTGAGGGTTGGTGAGGGTGATGGAAGCAGGGTTTCGGTTCTGTGTGGAGGTAGGGCTTGATTGGGGTATTGAGGTTGGGTTTGGGTTGTGTATGGAGGGTTGGTTGGGGTGGGGTTTGGATGGAGGGTTGGGGAGGGTGATGGAAGCAGGGTTTGGGTTTTGTGTGGAGGTAGGGCTTGATTGGGGTAGTGAGATTGGGTTTGGGTTGTGTATGGAGGGTTAGTTAGGGTGGGGTTTGGACGGAGGGTTGGGGTGGGATATAGAGGTAGCGTTGGATGGGGTATGGAGGGAGGGATGGGGTTGGGTATTGAGGTAGTGTTTGGGTGGGGAACGGAGGATAGGGATTGATTGCGGAAGGGGAGGGTAGATACTGGTGCAAAAAGTGGGACTGACTGGCCGCGGCTGACTGGTATGAATGTATACCTTGGCAGTTGATGGCATTTCCTGCAATGTTATCTTCTTGTGACCGGGGGATACAAGGTCACAAGTATACCACACATGCCCTTAAAGTCAACCAAGAACATTCTTTCAGTTTCTGATTGTTTGTTTAAAAGTCGATTATTTACAGGTCATAGTGACATTGTAGAAATACTGCTGATTGCAGCGGAAACAACATTCATTCTCCTAATGTTTGAAGAGATGGATGCGATGCAGGCAAAATGTTTCCTGGTTTTAAGGCTTCCTTTACTTTCAGTGTCCTACTGGAAGGCGACTATTGCTCCAGTGATGAAGGAGCTAATGCAAGATGGGAGTACAAGTGGCTGGGATCTCTGGGTGCGAAAGTGGAGTTCCATGTCTCTCCACGAGTTCCTTCATACTGACATCAACCAGGCGACGTCTCATAAACTGAGGCCATGGCCACAAATAGCCATTGAAGGATATATCTATCTCAGCTATGCTGCGTCCTTCCTTAACAACAGTCTGATTGAGACTCTCCGTAATGACATGGGCAGGTTCATGTTGGAACCTGTATACACTGCCCGCGACGGGATGGATGCACTACCACTTGCTTTCATGCGGCCAACCCCAAATGGCTGGAATCCTGATGTTAATCTTAGCAGATGTATCAAATACGGCGTACGGGTCTACACTGTTGAGAAGGTCAGTATCAAAACGGTCAGACGTGTTATATGAAAACCTGTTATATGAAAACGAAACAATAACGATGACCGTCTACTGTGCAGTCATTTGGTTACAACGTTCATTTGTCAGGCCGTTACAAATTGTTGGTCTTGAAGGCGACCTAATTGGATCTGGTGGTCCGGTTCGATGGCTTCTTTAACTGACTGTAATTTGTCCGAGTGCTGAAAAGGGTAGATTTCAGAGAGCTCATAATCACTAACTGCTCTGTCACATAACAACACAGGTGATGTCTGAAGGCGGCGAAGAGCTTGCCACGGTAACGGGATGGGACGAGGTATCAGATGACTCTGTAACCTACACGGGGGACGCTGTCATCATCACCGTTCCTCTCCCCATCCTCCGGCAGATGAACGTGCCCTTCTCTCCCGAGAAGCACCGTGCCATTGCTGCTGCCCACTACATACCGGTTAACAAGATAGCGTTACGGTGCAGGACTAGCTTCTGGAAGTCCTCCGGTGGTCATCAGGGTGGAATGGCTACCACCGATCTCCCGATTGGTAAAACTTGTGTTCAATTAACTCATCATCCCGCCATATGTCTCTTTGTTCTGTGTGTTCAAAGCGTTTCTTCTGTCTGGTAAAGAAATCAGGTTTTAACGTTTGTTCCGTGAATGTCATGATTGTCTGGGCTGTAAGGAAAATGTTATCATTTCCAGCCTTAACGGAGCCTTTATAGTTTGAGGTGATGTGAAATGTGGTTAAGCGTCGCAGGCGCACACGGACGCGTATGTGTGTGCGTGTGTTTGTATGAGTTTGTGTGTGTTTGTATGTGTTTGTGTGTGTGTCTTTGTATGTGTATGTGTGTGTGCGTGTGTTTGTTTGATTGTGTGTGTTTGTTTGTTTGTGTGTGTTTATGTGTTTGTTTCTGTCTGTATGTGTGCGTGCGTACGTGCGTGCGTGTGTGCGTGCGGCTGCTTATACCAGTCTGCACTGATGCCGCTTTTATAGTCCTAGCCCACTGACATATCAAGCCGCAAAGTAACGTGGATATTCCACTCAGATACAGCATACTGACTCCGGGGCTACCAGTCCGTGCCTTATCCCCTGAATGACGAGCGCCAGGCATTGAAACAACAAGTGCCGTCTTTTAACGTCTTTTGGTATGACGCGGCCAATGACCTTCCTCTCTCCGGACGAACGATATATCCACTATACCAGCGAGGACGTCTATGATATATAATGGTGTGCGCATATGATATACTAAAATCAATCACATCATGCAGTATATCATGTGTTGAACAGATTAAACAACTTCAACTTCCAGTGAAAGTTGATTGATATTGATTTGGTTGACCTTGACAGTGACTCAACAGTTGCATGGTTGCAGGTCACAGAAAAGTTTTAGCTGTATATTGATTATCATTTATTACTTTGTCAAGCTTGCATATGTGTACAGTCTACACGCTACATATAAATACCAATTTGGTAACGCTACATTTCATCATTACCATAAGGGTATATTTATATAAGAGTTCATTTCTTACAGATTGCTTGAACATATAGAAATACAATTTCAAGACCGTTTGTAATTCTACCGGTATCATTAAGCTGAATGTTTGAAATTATGAACGGTTTTTATTACACAATAATGACCTGAAAGCATATTAGAGAACATGATTGTACAGGCTATTTTTATGCTGCTATTTTCCAATATGTACGGTGAAACATTAAGGGAATGTCGTTTTTAAAATTTCCCGATTCGCATGCCACGGTCTCTCTTGCATACGTTGACGTTTGTGCTTGTGCAAGTTCGTGAATGTCATTTCAAACATTCGAATCCACATCTATCTGACCCAGGTATGACCCTGACTCTGTGTAAAGATCTGACAACACCTTCATGGGGTGTCGCGACAAAGAACGCCGAGGCTTTTAAATTCTCGGTACGAGTATTCCAAACATTCAGACAGGCATATCTGATTTCTGAATCACGAAAACGATTGTAATGAAAGAGTTCCGAATGCAAATAACTCGTCCCATTTTAATTCTGGAAACCCAAAAGTCCAGAAACTCTACGGTCTTTGCCCAGTCTCGGTTAAAGGTATTTACAAAATTAAACATGCAGTTTTCATGGGAACATACCAAGGAAGAAAAAATGAAAAAGAAATTGTTCAAAAACTCAATATTTAGACTATGTCGCCCATGGACCTGCCCATGGGCGAAGTGTGGCCCATGGGCGAGAATATGTTCCTTTACTTAAAACTCATGATTTTGTTTCGCAAATACATTAAATGTATTTATTCAAGTATCATGACACAAAATTTAACTCATTTTAACTTAATTCAACTATTTTATAGCGATATTGAAATATTTCGCCCATGGGCGAGAAAAAGGTTTGGCCCATGGGCAGGCGCATGGGCGAGAATATATATGTTCCTTTACTCAAAACTCATGCCTGGTTTTACCTCCTAATTACTGAGCTGCCCAATACTGTCATACTGTGGGCAGAGTAAGCGGCCTCGTTGAGTGATACAGACTAACCAGATTATGATTGTGTTTGTAAGTTGCGTTTAATCTGTGTCGGGTTGCAGTTGTTTTATTAGTCAAGACTAGGGGTAGTTTTTTCAATGAAACCTTTTAGCCGTTGAGTTTGTTTTGCATTCATTTCATTACATACATTGTTAGGTAGAATAATAACACCTTATATGGATTAAACATCTCCCTAATCTGAGTATAATCTCACATGTACTCTAAGTACCGTACTATATTACTTTGCGGAGACACTGAGTATAATTTTTGAGTTAGCATTGTATGCTGTCTGAAATGACTTTACACAAATCCCTGCATTCAATGGACCCGTGAAGATCTTCAACAACCCATTCTTGGCGTAAAAGGGCGACAGCGCTTGTCGTAAGAGGCGACTACCGGGATCGGGAGGTCAGGCTCGCTGACTTGGTTGATGCATGTCATCGTATCCCAATTGCGTGGATCGATGCACATGATGTCAATCACTGGATTGTCTGGTCCAGACTTGATTATTTACAGACCGCCGTCATACAGCTGAAATATTGCTAAGTGTGGCGTGATACAACTAACAAACAAACAAAACACAAAAAGAGAAAGTGTATGAGTACTAAAACTTGCAATAGATATGCGTACCCTACGTACACACATGAGTCCCATTCGACAGTCTACAACACACGAATAACTGTCAAACAAGTTTGGGTACCCCTTCTGTTCAGGCAAGTTATTTAGTTCGATAATTTTGTATTAAAATCCTTTTCAATTTGTTTTCACCGTTTTCCCTATTCCATGCATGTTTATGTTGCTACATCTTATTGCTCATGTTTCCAAGTATTGTAAAACACTTTAATGTTTCTCCTTCTTAATCTAACGTTATAACATTTCCGGTCATTACCATAATCTAATACACAAGAGATGATACCAAGACATATTTTATTCGGTTTTATTGTCTATGCGGTCTTACAATTGATTTTATTAGTCTTTAAATCTTATGTCTAGTAAATATTTTCACAAACAGGGCTGTTAACTGATATAAGGAATGTAACATCCAGTTGAGGACTGAATACGACGTACGTTAGTCTGGTAACGACGTTTCTAAAATTAATATTTTGAATAAGCCGTTTATACGCCAGTTGGGACAGGGATGATGGTATGGTAGCTGTAGCAGACATATTGACAGCCGTTGTTACGTGAGTCACTAGGTTATTAGTACGGCATTGGCCTTGTTGATTGGTACTATACTTTGAGGATTTCTGTGGCCACTGGCGGACGTAATTCAAACTCCTTCCACACTGACATCGCACCAAATATATTTGTGTACCGATTACATAACTCTTACTGACAGGGTAGGGTGGTAGTTTACGCGAAACGGACGGCACTGTGTACATTGAGCGGCTCCTTTGATATCGCCCCACAACATCCTTTTAATGAATGACCCATTAAACGATGATACACATCAGGATCGCGGAGAAAATACAAGATTCGTTCTCGTTAAATAATAATATAAAGCCGCGCTGTTCTATTGTTGTGTATATTTTACACATGCAATCGTTCCTAAGTGTCATTTCTACATCTGAATGGTTGTGTTCTGTGACTATGAATGGTTGTGTTCTGTGATTGTGAATGATTGTGTTCATTTGCTAAGATCAAGAAACGGTAAAGCATGAAATATAAAGTTGATATTAGATGAGGGTGCCAACCCCCATTTGGCCGGATGCCAATCCTTGGTAAATGGTGTTCCGCATGCTGCAGTGAAGTACGCTGGATACCATGAAATATTTATTTCAATGTTGAAACTTATGTTTATCTATTTCTTTGCAAAGAGAGACAAATCGATAAAACATTTATCCCTAGGCTTATGACCACTCAAATTCACTTGTACAAGCTGTGTACACTGATATGACACTGAAGTGGATGGGGAAGCCAAGTGGTTCAAGCGTTCCGGGTCCGATTCCTCACATGGGTACAATGTGTGAAGTCCATTTCTGGTGTCCCCCCGCCGTGCTTGAATATTGCCAAAAGCGGGGTAAAAACCATAGTCACTCACTCACTTAAATTGGGTGACAAGGCAAATTGAGTGGCCTGCAGGATGCCTAGAGGGTGAAAGTTGGCACCCTCTCTGGTTGGCTCAAGGACTCGTGGGTTTCAGAATTCGCTCACGAGTTGTTTCGTTTTTATGTCTTATTTTCCTTTTAGGTCAACTGTATTATCTTGATGAGAGTAACTGTGGTTCCCCTATCGACGAGGGTGGCGTCATCCTAGTGTATAATAAGGGCCAGGACAGCGAGTTCTTTGACTCGATATCTGATGCAGCAGCCATAGAGAGTGCTGTGGAACAAGTTGCAAAAATACATCCCGAGATAGTTGACGAGTTTGTAGAGGGCGTGGTGATCTCTTGGGGGAAGAACGTCCACGCCCGTGGGGGATTTATACGCCAATCCCCCGGCCAACACGATCAAATGATGTGCCTTCAGGAAGCAGAACACCCAGTCTACCTTGCTGGCGAGGCTCTTTCACATTCTCACGGCTGGGTGCAAGGGGCCATCGAATCGGGGCTGATGGCAGCCTATCAGTTCTGTCGCCAAAACGAAGCTGTTGTTTTTAAATCTGATTGCTCCTCTAACCCATGTTCAGACTAACACAACAACATGGAAATGTTGTTGCCAGCATCCACATTCTTGACGATTGTTTTTGTTTTGAAGCCTGGCTAAATATTATTTGTCTTTTCACCTCCATCCCTATCCTCAATCGTTTAAAAGTCGCTCTTGTTGAAGAATTATAATTCATATATTATATTTTCCTATCCGAAGGCTATGAAAGAATATTTTTTCTCAAAATATATTTTCGTAATTAACGATCGCCCTGATGTTGAAGTTGCTGTAATAATTCATATGTAATATTTATGTTACTTGTCACATGTTACTTTTGGTATCCCTCGAGGGTTACCTTTGATACGTAAAACATCTGCATGCTGCTAATAACATCGATTAAAAGTTTCATGACCAAATGATCCAGAACTCTGAGAGTAAAGTCAGATAATTTTAATCATCGGGTTAAAGTTAGTACTAGCCATTTTCCTTGGTTCGTCCTTGTGGACAATGTCTAAGACTTACACACTTGACGCTTCTCAAAGCGGCGATAAACCCAAACCACTCACTGTTAAAGAAGCATATGGACCGCAAGGTCAAGTTATGAATCATATGACTGTTTGATTGTTGTTTGACGCAGCACTCAGCAATATTCCAGCCTTATGACGGCGGTCTGTAAATAATCGAGTCTGGACCAACATGGGTTGCTGAAGACCTATTCTAACCCAATGAAACATATAACCCCTTAGGACCCATCGCTCGACCCTTCCTGACCTCCTTCTCCCACACACACGCACGCACGCACAACACGAAAGATTGTTTTTGGAGATAAAAACTGCCCTGCTGATTGTTATTTGTCTGGAGCACATACCTACTTCACAACTTCACGCTACTCCAATGAATGCTTTGTTTACTGTCGTCCAATCGCAGCCGATGAGAAAACGGTCACCACCTGTCCTTTAGGAAGACAAGAACCCAGTCAGCGCCGCATACCCAGGGAACCAGGCTGGCTTTCGTTGTGGTATTGTTACGCCTTAATTTGAACTGCTTCTCGCGGCCATTACAAGCTGAGAAACTGCGAGCAATCTCTTTTCTATGAGAAATGTTGTGTAACATGTTTGAATTATATATTGAATAAACTTTAAAGTCTTGCGAGAGATCAGTGTGTTCTTTCCTCTATCCTTGAGTGAGTAGATGTGTATTTGTGTCCGTGTCTGTTTATTTGCGAATCGAGCCTTTGTCGTGACTTAACAATGTAACCACTATATGTGCTGCCCCAACCACCCTTTCGTTAATCACACGTAGGGTACTCCTGAAAGAACAAAGACGGAATTTGAAAGAACTTGGCTTCCGACAATTATTTCTTACAAAAGAACAATACATTATATATCTCAAGAAACCCGTAAAGATTCTAGATGTCGCGGGCATGGTGGCTCAGTCTCTTGATGCGCTGCAATTCGCTGTGCACAGTTGCGTCCCTTGGGTGCAGATGCGCCTTAATTATGATTATGTTGTTGTTGGTTTGTTGTTTAACGCCGCACTCAGTAAAATTATGATTATGTGTTCATAAGCATCATACCCGTGTTCTTCGGTATCCCTTGATATTAAGTTACTGTAGCAAACGTCTAAGGCTTGTTTCCCGCATTAAGCTGATGCGCTGTGGCTTGCCTGAAGTATGGCATGAAGCGGCGTGAAACTCAACTCACACACTTACTCATGGACAAGGACAGACTTGTTGGTTAAAGTTCTGTGATTGTGTACTCACTACACTCGACCGGGCAATGAGTTGCATGTCTGTGATTTGATTTTTTCTCTTGCTCCATTTAGGGCTGGAAGGGTATCCTAGTGGTTAAAGCGTTCGCTTGTCACGGCGAAGACCCGGGTTCGATTCGCAATGTAGGTTATATCTGGTGTCCCCCGCGGTGATATTGTCGGAATAGTGCTGAAAGAGGCGTAAAACCATACTCACTCACTGACTGATTGTAGAGTTGGTGTATTTTATGACCGCTTCTATTGCTCTACATGCCCTCTACAAGCCCCTTCGTCCGCACTACAAATAACTACTTTCCACCCATATTACCAGTCTGTTTCAAGTGACGCTTCAGGGGAAAATAGCATATTAGCATCGGGCATCTCATAAGGTCGCGTAAAGATTTTATCGAACAGGGCAGGTCGATTCGAAAGAATTTCCCCAAGATTATGACACTAAAAAAGACCTTTCGTTACCAACTCGTGCCATTCCGGGACCAACCGAATGGGACCCGTGAAGATCCAGGTTAGCTCGTAGCTTTCAAGAATAATTTTTGATTTTGTATAATATTATAATCATATCAAAGTGTTTGATAAATAATTTTAGTGACCTCAAATATTTTTGATTTCTTTTGTTTTTATTTGTTGAGATTTTGCAAACGTGGAGAAACATCGTTGCGTGTTAGGTAGGGAGAATTTACGTTTCAAGGTTTTACATTTGTAATGAAAGAACTTAATTTTCGGTAGACAAGTACACAAAAAGTATAAAATAAATAATATATTCCATGCGTCTCGTGGAATATCCTGTTTCTCTCATCTCGCCTAACACCAGAGCGTTCTCTGACAGAAATTGACACCCTCGGTTCACCTTACGCCTATTGGTTACCTGATAAACGTTTTGCAGGTTATTTAAAGCATTTCTTCAGCACGATCAATATTGTTTTGTATATGTCCGGTTCATATATTATTTCTATGAATTTGGCATGAGGAGATTGTCAGAAAACAGTTAAGGTAAGGCCTCGTATCCAGGTCTTTTATGTTTATTGTACCACTTTACTTCAACCTACGAACAATGGTACGGAGCTCATAAACATAGAAATAATCAGCGCGAATCTAGAATACGAACCCACGATCACAGGGTTCTGGAACGTCTAAGGGACGCAACTCTGCACATCGAAATACGGCGGTGGCTTCTATCAAATTGACCATACCTGGTGAGCAACAGCGTTATCTCAGTGTACATACTCGTATATAAGATACAATGGGCCATATCAATATGGTAAGAATGTTATCAGTTCCATATCATTTTCAAATGTCGTGTCTACGTGCACATGGTTATCTCCAACTCCCGTGATCATACCCCATGGCGTACGTGTGTCATCTGGCTGTTGTTGACGGGAAATCAAACTGTAAACATGGAAGAAATTGTTATCAGTGTATTTCGTATGGCGTGAGTCACGAACGCGTGACAGCCATATTTGGATGTGATGCAATACGAGATGTCGAACGTCACGTCCCTGTGTACGCGAATATTTTCTTTGCGTTTTTGAAACGTTTCGGAAAGGAAGAGTACATATGCGCAACCCTGCACGCACGCACGCACACGCACATACATATATCTATATATATATCTCTCTCTCTATATATATATATGTATGTATGTATGTGTGTGTGTGTGTGTGTGTGTGTACGCACGTACGTACGTACGTACGTATGTACGCACGCTCGCACACACTCGCACACCACTTTATGCCGACGCACACATACACACGCACACCCCCACGGACGTACGCAAGTACACACACACACACTGACAGACGTACGCAAGTACACACACACACACTGACAGACGTACGCAAGTATACACACACACACTGACAGACGAACGCAAGTATACACACACACATACACACACACACACACACACACTTACAGACGTACGCAAGTACACACACACTCACACCGAAGGACATACGCAACTACATATCGCTCACACACACATATATACACACACACACTGACAGACGTACGCAAGTTCACACACACTCACACCGACTGACATACTCAAGTACATATCACACACACACTCACACCGGCGGACATACGCAAGTACATATCACACATACACTGACAGACGTACGCAAGTACATATCGCTCACACACACACACACACACACACACACACACACACACACACACACACACACACACACACACACACACACACACACACACACACACACACACACACACACACACAACACAAACAAACACACACACACACACACACACACACACACACACACACACACACACACACACACACACACACACACACACACACACACACCGGTAAGCTTCTATTATCAATACTGGCTCTCACTTAATGTTGCTTCTTTCTTCACCCTATACTAAATGTGTACTGCTGTAGTGTCAAATGTGACACCCTCTTTGCTTTACAAAAACAGTCCGTTGGGCTCCAAATGAGAACGATGAATTGCAAAATAACTCAAAATCGGGAATAGTCCATTAAATGTCAATACGGTACACGGCAATGAATACCCAACTATATCTGCTGTTTGTTATTTTTATTCCCATCACTGTAAAAAGTTGTTTTAGGAACCATAATGTTGTGATGTGTACAAATTGACATCTTGAACGGAGGGGGCACACCGGTAGGAGCAACAGCGCAAACACGCACGTGCAACACAACGGTACGGGGAATGGAAGCATAAGTGGGGTTGTCTCTAGTATAATTATAATCGCAATCTGATTCGCTCATGTCACAGCCCTCGTCATTGCTAATAGTCACAACTATAGGTGGGACTGATGCTTGCTGAAGTCCATCATGTGACCAATATATTGACTCTATCTCCTTGACGACATTGGTAACGCAACGGTGGTGCCATGTCTCCACTGTTACCAGACCAAGGGATTTATTTACTAGCTTTTCAACATCCCACAAGTTAAACGTTCTGTTCAAACGTAAAACGTCAACTTTGACGATACCCCATATCAACTCTATTAAGTTCAGATCGTTGGTTAGGGGCAAGTCGTAAGACGACGTGACCTTGACCTTTAATGTAATTGTCAAACATATGTACACTGGCTCAGGTTTGTTAGATTTGGTGGTTCACCGAGTTGTGATTTTGTATCCCTGGAAGGAAAGGTAATATTCGTCCGTTGCAGCCACGTAACCATATCTCCTTTGAGGCCATTAGACATCCAGTATTGCTGTCTGGATCCTGCATTCTGTGATATGGTGCATTGTCCATGATAATAAAGGACTGTGCAGGCAATGGTGCATTGTCCGTCATAATAAGGGACTAGCAGGCAATGGTGCATTGTCCGTGATAATAAGGGACTTGGAAGGCAATGGTGCATTGTCCATGATAATAAGGGACTGTGCAGGCAATGGTGCATTGTCCGTCATAATAAGGGACTGGGCAGGCAATGGTGCATTGTCCATGATAATAAGGGACTGGGCAGGCAATGGTGCATTGTCCTTGATAATAAGGGGCTGGGCAGGCAATGGTGCATTGCCAATGATAATAAAGGACTTGGCAGGCAGTGTTGCATTGTCCATGATAATAAGGGACTTGGCAGGCAGTGTTGCATTGTCCATGATAATAAGGGACTTGGCAGGCAATGGTGCATTATCGATAATAATAAGGGACTTGGCAGGCAATGGTGCATTGTCCATGATAATAAGGGACCTGGCAGTCAATGGTGCATTGTCCATGATAATAAGGGACTTGGAAGGCAATGGTGAATTGTCAATGATAATAAGAGACTTTGAGGCAGTGTTGCATTGTCCATGATAATAAGGGACTTGGAAGGCAATGGTGCATTGTGCATGATAATAAAGGACTTGGCAGGCAATGGTGCATTGTCTATGATAATAAGGGACTTGGCAGGCAATGGTGCATTGTCCATGATAATAAGGGACTTGGAAGGCAATGGTGCATTGTCAATGATAATAAAGGACTTGGCAGGCAATGATGCATTGTCCATGATAATAAGGGACTTGGAAGGCAATGGTGCATTGTCAATGATAATAAAGGACTTGGCAGGCAGTGTTGCATTGTCCATGATAATAAGGGACTGTGCAGGCAATGGTGAATTGTCCATGATAATAAGAGACTTTGAAGGCAATGGTGCATTGTCCATGATAATAAGGGACTTGGCAGGCAATGGTGCATTGTCCATGATAATAAGGGACTGGGCAGGCAATGGTGCATTGTCCATGATAATAAGAAACTTGGCACCTAATGGTGCATTGTCCATGATAATAAAGGACTTTGCAGGCAATGGTGCATTGTCCATGATAATAAGGGACTTGGAAGGCAGTGGTGCATTGTCCATGATAATAAGGGACTTGGCAGGCAATGGTGCATTGTCCATGATAATAAGGGACTTGGCAGGCAGTGTTGCATTGTCCATGATGATAAAGGACTTGGAAGGCAATGGTGCATTGTTCATGATAATGATGGACTTGGCAGGCAGTGTTACATTGTCCATGATAATAAGGGACTGTGCAGGCAATATTACATTGTCCATGATAATAAGGGACTTGGAAGGCAATGGTGCATTGTCCATGATAATAAGGGACTTGGCACCTAATGGTGCATTGTCCATGATAATAAGGGACTTGGAATGCAATGGTGCATTGTCCATGATGATAAAGGACTTGGAAGGCAATAGTGCATTGTTCATGATAATGAGGGACTTGGCAGGCAGTGTTGCATTGTTCATGATGATAAAGGACTTGGAAGGCAATAGTGCATTGTTCATGATAATGAGGGACTTGGCAGGCAGTGTTACATTGTCCATGATAATAAGGGACTGTGCAGGCAATATTGCATTGTCCATGATAATAAGGGACTTGGCAGGCAATAGTGCATTGTCCGTGATAATAAATATATGTGGTTTCATATTAGTTTTTGACATTATCGCTTCACATTTCAGTGACTCAATAGCTACTTGAAAGTACATTTTCCATGTTTCGGTTGTTTTTATACATGATTTATAACATATTTGTATGAAAAATTGTGTTAATTTGCAAAAGGTAACGATAAAAGTAAGTGAAACATCAAAATATTGAAAAACAGAATCTATGTCCCTTATGGGCCACCGTAGCTTCACACTGAACGTAATCGTTGTGCCCCCTTATGTTCAAGATATCAACTTGTACACATAACAACATGATAGCTACTGGTACAGCTTTTTCCAGTGACAGGAATTAAAAAACAAACAGCAGATATTGTTGGGTACAGGGTATTCATTGCCGTGTACCGTAATGCATATTGCATGCATGCACAGATAATCCACAAACAGACAAAAAATGTGCTGTAACCGCCCTCAATTTGACACCGCATGCGTAACAACCGACCTCAATGTTACATCGTATGCGTTATAAACGTCCTCAGTGTCATACCATATGCGATATAACTGACCTCAATGAGACACCATGTGTTATAACCGCCCTCAATGTTACATCGTATGCGTTATAAACGCCCTCAGTGTCATACCATATGCGATATAACTGACCTCAATGAGACACCATGTGTAATAACCGCCCTCAATGTGACACTGTATGCGTTATAACCGTCCGTGATGTGACACCTATATTTTCATTTCATTTCAGTACGTGTAGGCCTCAGACCTTTGTGTACATACATATGGCAATGTACAAACGAGTGTGCACTACATACAGGTAAAAAATAGCATATAGACATTACATATAATCTATGAACATTATCAGGATGTAACTGAACACCAAAGGAACATTCTGTCTCCATTTCTACAACCAACTGATTGATAAAAAACTGAAATAGGAAAGGGCTTGGCATGCAACCTTGTCTTACGCCCAAGGAGCAATACAACATACCAGACATACTATTATTTGACTTCACACATGTCTTGACACAATTTTAATTTGACTGCAACATCTTCCCCATTTTTTAGCTCAAGCCGTGCTTATAAGAAAAATTCCACAAAAGAGGCAGCTGTATAGTGTCAAAGGCCTTAGAAAAGTCAATAAAAAACGACGTTTAAAAACAAAACAGTTATCCATAGTCGAATACCCCTTTGGAAAGTCGGGTTGACATTCTGATATTTTAACAAGAGCATGTTCCCAAAATACAAGTCTCTTACTTAAAAAGGAATAGACTAAAATCTAGTCTCTGAAATGAACATATCGTACATAAAAAAACAGTTGTTCAGTTATCTTAATAAAAATATAATAAAAAGGAGCCCAGTAACTCTCTTCATTCTCAGATACTGCAGTGATCTAGACTTGCCAAATATTATAGACTTGCATGGGCTGTATTTGATATATATTTGTATCAGGGTCTGTAAGACAGACTAAAAAAGGAAGTCAATACTTCACTACGAATACTCAACAAAGTGATCGCCCTGTCATTATCTACAACTGAGGCTCGCCTTTTTATGCAGAGGGATTAATATTGCCGTAGGCCTCGAGCTCGGTTATCAATATTAACTTAAAAAATGTCATCATAATTATCGCTCATGTTTTTAACAAAGACACTTTACCAAGTCAACATACCATGGGGGTTTATTATATCGTTCACGTATAGATCTTTTATAGATCACAGAATACCGCCCCTGTGAACAGAGAAACGACTTCACACCCACCCGAGAGAGAACGTGGAACTGCATTCTCTAGCATATCAGTGGTAGAAGCTGGCGTGATATTTGAAAGAAATGTTGCTTTTAGTGAATCAGTCCACTTATACTGGAACTGTAACCTGTTACACTTTCCCTTTGTGGCTACATCCATACTGTTCCTAAGATCACTGAAGTGAACTGGCGATGCTGGGATTCAGAACGTGACAGTAGATCAATCAGGGCTATATGGCTGAACATGTTATAACCGTCCTCAATGTGACACCATGCGACCATGTGTTATAACAGTCCTCAATGTAACACCATGTGTTATAACCGTCCTCAATTTGACACCATGTGTTATTACCACCCTCAATGTGACACCGTGTGTTATTACCACCCTCAATGTGACACCGTGTGTTATAACCGTTCTCAATTTTACACCATGTGTTATTACCACCCTCATTAATATTTGTGACACCATGTGTTATAACCGTCCTCAATTTGACACCATGTGTTATTACCGTCCTCAATGTGACACCATGTTATAACCATCCTCAGTGCTGTACCATATGTATTATAACCGTCCTCAGTGTGACACCATGTGTTATAACCGTCCTCAATGTGACACCATGTGTTATAACAGCCCTTAATATGACACCATGTGTGATTACCACCCTCAATGTGGCACCATGTGTTATTTCCACCCTCAATACGACACCGTGTGTTATAACCGCCCTCAATGTGACACCATGTGTTATAACCGCCCTCAATGTGACACCATGTGTTATAACCGTCCTCAATGTGACACCCTGTGTATTAACCTTCCTCAATGTGACACCATGTGTTACAACAGCCCTCAATGTGACACCGTGTTATTACCATCCTCAATGTGACACAATGTGTTATAACCGTCCTCAATATGACACCATGTGTTATAACCGTCCTTAATGTGACACCGTGTGTTAAAACCTACCTCAATGTGACACCGTGTGTTATAACCGTCCTCAATGAGACACCCTGTGTATTAACCTTCCTCAATGTGACACCATGTGTTACAACAGCCCTCAATGTGACACCGTGTTATTACCACCCTCAATGTGACACAATGTGTTATAACCGTCCTTAATGTGACACCGTGTGTTAAAACCTACCTCAATGTGACACCGTGTGTTATATCCGTCCTCAATGAGACACCCTGTGTATTAACCTTCCTCAATGTGACACCATGTGTTACAACAGCCCTCAATGTGACACCGTGTGTTATTACCACCTTCAATGTGACACAATGTGTTATAACCGTCCACAATGTGACACCATGTAAAACCGTCCTCAATATGACACCATGTGTTATAACCGTCCTTAATGTGACACAGTGTGTTAAAACCGTCCTCAATGTGACACCGTGTGTTATTACCACCCTCAATGTGACATCATGTGTTACAACCGTCCTCAATGTGACACCATATGTTATTACCACCCTCAATGTGACACCATGTGTTATTTCCACCCTCAATATGACACCGTGTCTTATAACCCTCTTCAATGTGACACCATGTGTTATAACCGTCCTCAATGTGACACAATGTGTTATAACCGTCCACAATATGTCATCATGTGTTATAACCGTCCTCAATGCGACACGTGTGTTATTACAGCCTCAATGTGACACCATGTGTTATAACAGCCCTCAATATGACACCATGTGTTAAAACCGTCCTCAGTGCTGTACCATATGTATTATTACCGTCCTCAATGTGACACCATGTGTTATTACCACCCTCAATGTGACACCATGTGTTATTACTCCTCCAATGTGACACCATGTGTTAAAACCGTCCTCAATGTGACGCCATGTGTTATAACAGCCCTCAATATATGGCACCATATGTTATAACAGCCCTCAATGTGACACCATATGTTATAACATCCCTCAATATGACACCATGTGTTATAACCGCCCTCAATGTGACACCATGTGTTATAACCGCCCTCAATGTGACACCATGTGTTATAGCCGTCCTCAATGTGACACCATATGTTATAACAGCCCTCAATATGACACCATGTGTTATA